TTGATCCCCATCGCATGAAGGCAATGGAACAACTAGAGTCTATGTAGTGCATGTTTTTTAAAACTCTTGAAAGATAGCACAGGATTTGCGAAGGCGCAGCCCGCTCAGTCGTAAAACATGGACGGAGACGAGAAGACAAAGCATGTTGCACTGCTTTGGTAGGAGTTGTTAGGCCTCTTGTCTGCTTCACCCACTTCAAATACATGGACGAGGCTGAGAACACGTGCGTAGCTTCTGGCACAAATTATATACGGAGGATTCCTTGCACGTTGCGCCTGCTTCGAAACAAAATTGAAGCAAACGGGAGCCCAGCATGGGGGTGGGGTGGTGTGGAGACTCATACAGCCGTAATAATGCAATGATAGCATTACCAGAACATTTTGATAACGTATATATTAATGTGTGCCATAAACATGAAACTGAAGACTCACGAGAAGGGTTTGCAAATGGGGCAACTGTCAAGACTGATGCCGACTTGTGAAAATCAAGACAAGATGGCACAAATGAGGGAAATCATATACTACGAAAGATTACGAGATGCTGATACATGATGAAAGTGAGAAAATGATCACAAACTATGAGAACACTGAAAGCTGTTTAGGAAATTATGAACAATAAGGCGACATGACACAAATACAATGATGGAACATCATGAAAATAATGGTGCATCCTGAAAATGATGAAATGTTGAAGAACGATCAACACTAACGAAGCTGTGAAAATGATCCCATCGGATGACAGGTGCTTGCGCACATGTGCTTTGTAAAACCACAGCAGGAGTGTGGGTTGAGGGGCCTCAGCGCCGCCACCATTTGCAAAACTTGGACGAAAATTGGAACATGTGCTTCCTTACGACAATTGTGATCGGGCAATGGGCAATGATAAGAAGCAATACTAATAGGATCGAGAACAGAACGAACAACTTTTTAAAACCTCTGCATGTTGCCCTTCTAGCCTTCGACAACCGATGACGACGCGTGACGAATGATGAAAATTCGAAAATGTTATGAAATTGACGAAAAGTCAAGAAATCAGAGGGATTATGAAAACTGATATAGGCGAAACATGTGGAAATTGATGATTCAGTGCACCATGACGAAACATGACGAACTAATGAGAAAATTGACAGAAAGTGATGAAATACGAGTGAAACTTGCGCAGACATGGTAAACATGATAAGCATGAAAACATATGATGGCAAAAGATGGACTTTGAGAAACATGATGGAAAATATGACATTATGGAAATGCTCGAACATGATGAACTACCAAAGGACATGGTGCACTTTTTTGAAAATAGAATGAAAATTCATGGCCTGTGCTGAATGCCAACTTAAATGATAAATCTGATGCAATATGATGGCAATAAAGTGTCATCTAAAATTATGAAAACTTAATGATGAAAAGATGCAAAATTATGAGCATGAAAAACAATGGTGAGCATAAGGTCTGATATAGCGAACATGATAGTAGGAGGTGAAAATGAGGAAGATGAGCAATGATGAATATACCTCCGGAAAATTAAGACACGTGCTGAAACCTGCTGGGAGATTATGAAACATGACGGCCATGAACAAAATAGTTCAAAAAATGTACGATTATGTCTGATGATATTTGATGAAACATGGCTGAGGCACATGGAAGCATATGATGAAAAATATGCTAATGATGAAAAATAATAAGATGAAAAAATGGCGACCTTCCTTCCTTCCTTCCCCTTTCCTCCCTTCATTCTTCGATGGGGATCGAGAGCTCAATTTCCAGCCAGAAGCCAGGAAGCCAAGGAGCTGCCACGCCAGAGACCCGCTTGGCCAGCAACAAAAAAAAACACAGATGTAGAAACAGGACACCCAAAATGCAATCCCTCCATCATGAAAGTCGCCGCCTGTGCATTTGCGAGAGCCTGCAAAGCATGCTGAGGCAAAGGGCTGGATCAAGTCAACCGCGGCGGCTACCGCCTTCTCCCTTCCCATGGCAGACTGCACCACCTCTTCTGCCTCTGCGCAAGCTGCCTGCTTTTAAGGTTCAAAACAAATGTTGAGCAAGTTGAGCACCAGCGGGCTACAACTTGCCAGCGCGTACCTCCACGTCATCTCTTGACCTTGTGAGAAAATGTATGAATCATACAACGGCTCTTCCCCAGCTCCAGGGCTGAACCAACGAAGCTCTTCCTCGGCGATTTGCATTCGCTCCAGGTCGCAATCCAGGCCTTTGCAGAAAGGCACTTCTTGGCATTTCTTGGCCAACCACATCAGACACAAACTTCTCTCATCACAGTCAGCATCAAGCCCTGAAGAAAATCCGCTGCCGACGTTAGCTTCGCTGTACCAGACGCCTTGTTTTTGGAGGCAAGAGCTCTTCGCCGCAGCAAAGACCTCCTTTCAAATTGCCCAAGCTTACCCTCACTCGCCAGCCAAAACTTACATTGCTCAAGCTGGCATGCTCTTTGCTGATTATGAGAAGACAAGCTGGGAATGTCGACCATCGCATGAGTCCTGCTGAGAGGGGGTTTTTACATGTTTTCAAAGCAGGGGTTTTTGAGGAACACTCGTAGCCAATATCATAGCATATAAGCTCCATTCGGAGAGGAATGAAGGCCCAAAAACTTATTCTGTTGGGAGTGGCGGAAAGAAACAAACAACTGCGTTCTTTGAGGGCCTGGATCTGTTTCCAACATTTGCAAAAGAGGGACATGAAAAAAATGCACTGATCATTCGTCCGGGAAGGGGCATGCGTTATGAGCATCATTGAGTGCTCGTTTCGCACATCCTTCAACAGAGCTTCACAGAACTTTACAGTTGCATAAACAACAGGGCCATGCACGCAACGTTGACACTGTCAAGTGTCCTTTGCGCACACTCAGAAAATATATGAAACTCATACTAGGTAATGCTCCTGGTCGCATGCCCGAGCCACAACTCCTTCGAACGGGAAAGGATTTTGGCGTGAAGGGAAAGTCGTCTCAGGTCCGGATCTGCGGCGCTTCGAGGTAGGTGCGCGGTTAAAAGGCTTCGCAAAGTGCGAACGACCATGCGACCATGTGATTGAACAGTTCGCTATGGGAGCAAACAATCGAATGCACTACCACCGCCTCGTGCAGGCACCAGCAGTCGTACTGAGCTGACGGCTCATGACGGCGGTAAGGCGATGAAGTACGTTTGCTCTTGGGCACGCATGGGTTTTCATTAAACATTCCGGTGTGGCTCGGATAGCCTGCCTAGTCATGACATGTCATGACCCAGGCTCCAGCCAACGTTGAGCATGCATGCAAAGATCGTTATCATGTTGGCGACAACTGTGCCAGAGACAGCTTCGATCGAGGTAGTTGGGTTAGTGTTTCAAATTGAGATGGACGCTTGGCGACAACTTGTCGAAATATGCTTCGTTTCTCGCATCCGCTTGCCGCAAGTCCTTTTGCTAACGCAAGACTTCCGCAAATCTGTTCCCTTCCGCGAAGATCGCGAAGCATCTTTAACTCATGGTCTACTTTGGCAGCACCTCCCGCGACCTTTCCACGAAGCCATCACCTTCCACCAACCTTCTGCGGCCACAGGTGCACAAACTAATCGAAGTCTAACGGGAAACAACACTGCTCACGTGTATACTTAGTGCATTCATACAGTGATGCTGAAGGCTGGCAACATGCCAACAGTCAATCCTTGAAGTCAGCTCGTTGCGGTGCCGAAGACCAAGCATACCTGGCCTTCCAGGCGAATGTCCATGTCCTCTTCGCGTGCAGCCACAGAATCCGCACGAGCCGAGAGGCTGCGACCTCATGAAGCGACTGATGAAGAAGGGGCCAAATGAAGCCATAAGAGCGCAACTTTGAGCAGCCAAGCGCTGACACCTGAGCATGTCGATTACAAATCAATGCATGACGGCAGCCTACGGCGGTCAACTGAGACGACAGCTCTTCTTCCAGTTGATGGGCTGACCCACAGGTGCACCTTTCACTATATGGACTTCTCAAATAGTGCAAGCATGCCACCGGCTCGACAGCACACACAGCACCAGGGTGCACCCAGAAACAACAACAGTCGTCAGCCCATCGTCATTGGGAGACCTAGGCCAATGATTTGCAAGTCCTACGAAGCACTCGTTCTCTCGAGGCTGCGAGCGTGGCCCTTCTGCTCTTCTGAGTCCAGCGGCGGGCTTGCCGAACTTCGGCTGCGGTGAAGTGACCGCGCCCCATTCTGCATGCAGATACGATCGATACGGGTTGGACTGCCGATTGGCAGTCAGCAACCCAAAGCTCAGCTCCTACATGCGCCTTGTTAGAGTGCAGGCCCTTTTTTGTTGAATCTTTGCCAGACAAATGATAAAGGGGATGAGATGAGTGACTGTGCATGGCAGCGCTGCTGACCCACACGACTTTGAAACGTCACCCTTCTTGAGCTATGGAAACGCACAGGTGCTGCTGAATGTGCTGGTAATTGTGTGGCAAAAGACTGCAACTGTCATGATGTCAGAATGGTGGGCAATTGCAAGTGGTAGGTGACCTGGCCAAACTAGCAGCTTGCTAACGTCGCCGGGCATTAATCTTGAACCTCCGATGCATAACTGATTGATCTGGTTTCTTTTGAGGGCGGACCCATGAGCATCTTATTGCATCTTAGCATCTCAGCGTCGTTTGTAGCATGCCGACGGGAGGTAGCATAATGTGTAGAATAAAGGCAACCTCTGCCAAGCCAGAAGAATGGACACAATGGCTTCCGCTGCGTTTTCCACCGGCAGGTGCCAAGCATCTCTACAGCTCGCGCAGCTGTAGCTTCTCCAGAGATTTGCCCGAGGAGCCAGGATATGATGAGCAGAAGATACCTATGAGTGTCGAAGCGGGGAGAGAGAGAGAGAGAGAGAGAGAGAGAGAGGGGAGGACAAGAGAGAAAGAGACAGAGCAGGAGATGGGGAGAGAGCGGGCATGGTCGGGTTAGATGCTAGTCATTGGTTATACAAGGACAAGTGCGGTCTGCCGTGCTCACGGACAGCACGCATTTATGCCGCTCATTTGTTAGAATAGATCTTCAATGAACGGTCCATGGATACGCTGGCCAGGGTCTTTGCGTTTGGACCTGAGCTGCTCGCAGCATCAGCCTACCAAGTTGAGCCTGGAGATTGTTCCGGGGACTGCACCCCAGCAAAGACCTGTCACAGCGTCTGCATGCTCCTGGACCGATGCAGCGTCTGCAGTGCTACTGAAAAGGGCTTTCAATCAAAAGTAGATCGCTTCAGCCATCAGACACTGATCTACACATCCCAAAAAATCATCTGCACGTTACACGCTCTATGAGTTGGCTCATCTCCACCCAGCCCTTGCTTCGTGCTGCCGATTACTCTGATTAGCCTCCTGATCCACATGAGAAGTTGCCTGCTTCCCTAATTGACGCCAGATATTTTGTCAGTTGCATGGTCTAAGCCATCCGTCCTTAAAAGCCGCAGCTTCTGTCAGAGTCGTTTTGGTTGCAAAGTTGAAAACCTTAGTTGCTGATTCGCATGAAACGCATCTTTGCGTTGCTGTGTGCTGCTGCACCTGCCTGCACGCTCTTGCTTCCCACAGCCAGGTATTGCCTCAGTTCAGTTGTGGTTTGCGCAAGATCCTACGCCATCTCTGCCCCAAGGCAACCACCCAGTTGCATCAAAGGCAACAGAGTGAGCAGGGCCATCTACCTGCAGACGCAACATCAGCATAGCAGACTGCACGACCCGCACGCCACTCCCCGCTCATCCATCCTTGATCGTCTGGATGTTCACCGGCTTTCTCAGGTCCCACAGCCTGTTGAGGGAGAGCTAGAAACACAATTCTACCTAACACATACCTGGAGCTGAGCTTCATACTTTACCACTCCATCGCTCGAACCAGACGCGAGGTAGTAGCCATTGCCAGAGAACGACAGAGTCTGCACATACCGTCGGTTCGCAAAATTCGTTGACGTGCGAACAGCAGAGTCTACGAAGGCCTGGACCACGCCCTCGTGGCCGGTGAGGCTAGCTACTGTTGCCTGCGTGCAAAGGGGGTCCTCGACTGTGCACCCCTGAACATGGAGAAGTGCACACGCCTGCTCCTTCACATCCCAGACAACAACAGTCTTGTCCTAGCCATAGCAAGATATAGCAAGGGCGACTTCCTGCCTCTAGCTGAGCCTCATCTTGTGTGAGTCCAGAAACTACCAAAGAACGGCTGAAGCTCACAAGGCTTTTGAAGCAAAGATGGAATTGAAATGGAGAAACCTGCTTGCAACAGTAGTAGGAGGCAGCTCATGCGACTAGCGCGCATCAACCTTCCTGCGTGCCACCAGCGACGATGAGTCCATCCGGATGAAAGCTCATGCACGGATAGGCTGAGCCCAAGTCCTCGCGCAAAAAGTGTGTGCCACGCCTAAGGCGTATCCACAATCTGTCATCATGTTGAGCATTACAACATTGGGCCTGCATGTGGCGCACACACCTGCCAGTCGCAAAGTCGTGGATTGCCCAAGACTTGTCGAGCGAGGCCGTCAGCAAGTATCTCGAGCACAGCAGGAGAAATAGCTGAAATCAGATTATGTCAAATTCCTTTGTGCTCCACGAAGCCGCGCCAGCGGAGGTAAGGGCCGCGCTCACCAAGTGGATGAATCGAAAGATCTGTGACTTCTGCACTGTGCTTTCGGATCGTGTGCAGGCAGTTGTACCTTCAGCGAGACGCATGGGTCGCAAATATCACAATCTGATGCACTTCCAAAGGGCACTGGCTTGACCAGTCTGTCGAACTGCATGTCCACACCTTGACCGTCGCATCCTGTGACGCAGAGGCCACCACGTCCTTGTCGGGATGCAGCTTGACTGCCGTCACCTCCGGAACGCTCGCTTTGCCCACTGCATGCTTTCATCAGAGCCAGTCACTTTCAAAGCAATTGCACCTTCTTGGAATGCCCTGCCAGTTTTTGCACAGGCTTGCTCTTCTGCGCATCGAAGAGAATCACCTCAAGATGGATGATTGTAGAGTGTGCGTTGACAATCACGCGTCAATATCGCATCGCCTGGCTGTCCACCCCACCGGTTGCAATCCGGTTTGGATGAACCTCGAAGGAGTGCAGAGAGTGCAAAAGCTGCGCCCCCCCCCCCATGTGGCAACAAGCACCCTTTTCTGGATCTCAAGCTTCTCCTCAAGTACCAGTGGACACCCATGTGAAAGGCCAACCATTAAACACTGAATTGGCTCGCGCGTTTTGGTGCTCCGTCCAGCTTCCTGAATTTGGCACAAATTTCCACATCATTTCCATGACTGTCCCGTTCTTTTCGATGATATTGATGCGGACCGTTTCGGGGGGAAGCCGTCAGCCTCACAACTGTAATCGTTTTTGGATCTGCAATAAAAGGATCCAAACACACATTCAACATCTTCATTAAAAAACGCGGTCTTTTCCGTCAGAGGGAGAAGCTGTTCGACTTACATGCATTGGAAGTTGTTGCTGCCGTATGTGCTGTCCTTCTTGCGTGCCGGCGCATTCACTTCGCGTGCGCTTACCGCAGCCCATCAGCTCCTTGTCTAATGCCTGACATCAACACCGCCCACGAAAGTCAACACCAGAGGTGCCATGTCAATGCAAGCGGTACCATAGCATACCTCGCATACCTCGCCAGTTGTGTGTCCGTCGGCAGGCTTGCACGTGGACCGCATGCATACCGGATAACAAAACAGCAAGGCCAGATATGACCTGTGTCTTGCGAGCAGCCCGTTTATCCTAGAGGGCTTAAGGATCAGCTATCCACGGCTTGCAGGCTTCATCAGGCCTTACAGCTACCCAGCATTTTCAAGATCCAAATGCTTGCCAGCACTGACATCTTGTTGGCTGTTTGTTTTATGGGAGCCTCTCTTTCCAAGACTGTTGTTTCAACAAGATGGCACAGTACTGGAAGGTTCCCGCCTTGTGAACATCAACGCAGATGATCCCAGGAGCAGTGGACTGGTGAATGGTGGAGAAGGAGCCTTTGCATTCTAGCCTGGTCAAGTCACAGCTGCAATCTTTGGAGTGCGGTTAGAATGCCACCTCTTCACCTCTTCCAACGGATTGAGGTCCGGGAAGTTACGCCTTAGTGTGCTGAGCGTGGTCTGTCGAGCCTCTGCAGAGGTGACAAATTTCTCCAAGGCGTGCATTAAGAGCTGGCTCAATGCTATAACAACCTAAGGCTAGCTGCTCGTGACCTGTCACATCGGATCTTTTGAAGATCAGCAACGTGATTAGAGAAGGCCAAGACTTGCAGGCCGCAGAAACTCGCTTAGAGTATGCCCTGCACAGATTTCAGCCAAGAAGGACTTGGGATTCTGCTGTCATGCTGGTTCGGGTTACATCGACACTTGTGTGCACGAGAATCATGACTGCTTGCACAACTTTTGCAGGTTGCCGAACCTATGTCAATGTTCCATGCTCACAAGAGGTTCAGTCTTCAAGGGCGCAGAAGGGATGTGCTACAATTACTCTGTTCCTCAGTGAGCTTGTAGGAGGGATGGCAGCATACGGCGGCTTGCCCCCACTGGGACAAGACGTTGCACACTCTGCGACATCTTGCTGCCTACTCTCATCTTTTTCTCACACTGGGCGCAGCACTGCTTGCGAGTCTTTGCAAGATTCTTGGCAAGCTCCTCGCAAGGAATTGCAAGGATGGCATAGTCATCACAAGCCACTGTGTTGCTGCACCGGCTGCGCGCATGTCTCCTCCATCTTGCTGAGGATTTGAGGAGTAAGACCAGTCTCGCCCTGGCGAATAACAAGTCGTGATTGGGAGACAATCAGCGGTGCAGTGGAAACTCGAGCTCTGGTGCTTCCTCGGCAGCCCCCACAGGTGCGTTTGCAGGTGTGGAGTTGCTGAGCTGGTCTTGCAGCTGCGCAACCTGTCGTGCCGTACCCAGCGTTGCTCGTAAGGCTGAGAGCGCACAATCTCAGCATGTGTCTAGTGATGTTTGCATGCCAAAATTCAGCCGCCCTTACCTCGACTTGGACACTTACAAACTAGCAGGCCTGTGCTCGAGCTGCATCGCGCTCGCGCAGCAGCCGAGCTATGACACGACAGGCAGCGTCATGCTGATAAAGCGCGTGCGAGAGTTGTTTGCGCGTAGTGTCCAAATTCCTTGCGAATCAGGTAGTATGTTCATCGCCACAGCTCGCTGACAGCCTTGTCACTGAGTGCCCATCGTTTTCAGCTCATAGGTTTCTGACATGAGAGCGTCCCACTCGGTTTGCAGCAAAGTCCTTGACTGACGTGGCAGCTTCTCACGGATATGGTTGCACGTGAGAAAGAGGAAAAAACACAAGTGTTGCAAAGCAAAGCTTTCAGTTTTGGGGCTCGCACAGCATGCCTGGAATGGAAGTGGCGGCAGCCGGCCGCGGCTTGACCACCTTGTTCACTTTCATCTCGCATAGATCTTCCTCCGGCTTGCACAGCACCAGGTGGGGAAAAATGACTTCTACTCCTGTTCTGATCCGGCAACTGACAAGGTCGGGCCTGCGTCAGCTCCTCTTTGGTCACTGGACATCGACCGGTCTCCTGCACCTGCTTCTCAATGAGCCGCCGCTCATAGACCTGCCTCCAAGTGCAATGGTCCAACAGTATGATTTGATTGTGCCAAGTCAACCTGCTTCATCCAGTACCGTAAGGGACCTTGTTCCTGCCTCCTAGCAAACAATGTTCCAAGGCTAATGAAATCGCGTTTTGATTTGGGGCTAGCTCTGCATCTAAAACACAAGCAAAAAACAGAAAAACCTGCTCGAGTCAAGTTCTCATTTAAATAAAACCGAACAGCACAGCAGCTTGCAGCATGGCAAAACAAAATAACGCAGGAACACCAAGGGCTGTCAAAGAACACGAATAGCTCCATGAAACAAGACCGCACGGATTTAAAGCACT